ACGTTGTAAGCTGTAACAGCATCCACTAGTACGCGGATGCAACCGGGAACTAGCCACAGACCGTTATGAAATAGCGAACAATCGCAGTAAGATTCCTACAAGCGGTGCCCTTCTAGGCTAAGATGCGGATGAGCACCCAAAGAGGTTAAGAAAGCAGAAATCAAATCACGGAGAAGTCATTTTGTATTCACTTCGAGTAACGAGGTAGACTAACCTGTATTAACTTTCCCGATCGCACGGACGCCTGCGGCTAAAAGAAAAACTGCCCAAAATTAAAAGAGTAACTGGAGAAAGCCATCCTTCTGACGTTAGATTATATCCCAGAAGTAGACATTGCCGTTGGTGAAGACGGTAGATTGAATAGTACTATGCATTCTGAATCATTAATAATGAAATGGTCTTTATTTCGGAGACTTGTAGTGAGCATGGAATAATAGACGAGGCAGCAGAGAGCGCTATTTATTTATAGGTATTGAGCTTAATCGGATCTGAAATTTGCATGTTCGATAAGTTGTGATTTACTAGTGTCACCGCATGTAGCCATTAGTTTACCCTAATTTTGTACAAAAATACTGAACAAGGGACTTCGAACTCTGCTGAAAAAAAAACAAACAAAAGCCGTCACCTTAATAGATCGCTGGAGTCGCAAAATACACTTAGCACTTTGAGTAGGTTGAAACCTCAAAGGCGATGAATTGTGCTTTTACGTGTGTCATGTGACCAAATCGGTCACTAGAAGGAAAGTAATTTCCCCTGCTGCTTGTATCCGATGAGTGACACTGATCCACCGACAAGTCCTGCATAAATGTATTGCAAGGTTAGTTTGGACAAAAGTATTAATCGAAGAGCTGACACTGTGGGACATGTGACTTAACACAATTTATGGCCTCAAATACATATACGTACTGTTTAAGAAATTTAAAGCATTTTTTCCCCGGTGAAGCAAGCGAAAACGGCAGAATTTATTTGTACAAATAAATTTCGAGATAGCTTATCAACGGCTTCATTTCTTTCCATGAATAATGAGACAATTAGAGAACAGAGCCTTTTGAATTTTCCCAGAATCGATAAGAGCAAGGTCATTTTAACGCGGCGAATGGTCAATAGTAATGTGAACTTTAAACATGGGAAGAAAAGTAGGGAGGTGAATTAACAAGAATAAAAGTGTGGCATCCATTTACCAGGGCAGTTGAAGATTAACCATATGGTCCAATTGCTTACATAGGTCGGGTTTCTCCCGCCGTAAAAAGGTTGCTTCCATGTAGCGCAAGGTCCGGTCTGTTCGTGCTCGAACAAGAACTCGGAAAGATGTGCTGATGTCAACGGAGTGACCACTGTCTAATAAGTGTTTTGTAATGGATGACCGTGGCACTTTGTTTTCTTGTTTTAAAAGTCAAGCAGGCAAATGTTCAGCAGCCCTGGTCGCCAAGTGCCTTTGCGTACGGCCAATGTACTTGCATCCGCAAGTGCACATGAAATAATAGACGCTGTTTGGAGTGGCGTGCAAAGGCAAGGCGAAAGGAGGCAAACTGCGAGTTCAAACTCGCCGTCGTAAGTGCCACTTCAGAAACCACTTACGACGCAGTCATTTCAAGGAAGAACACGCGTGGATACGCCGACAGATTAGGGTAGTTATTAACATAGGAAACCACCGGAAGCCAAGGCAACA